AAACAAATAAGAAAAGTAAATTGTACATAGACATAGCTGATGTCTTGTACCATCTACAATACAACAGAGCTATAGGATCTGTAATAGAGAATAACAATGTCTCTGCGGGTGGTGTGATTGGCACCAGTTCCCGAGTTTCGTCTGCGTTTGAAGGAGCCGGGGGGGGGGATGCCCGTCTTGCAGCTGCATGAATGGGGGACCGAAGGTATCGAGGTATGTATCTGTATGTGGAAGGCTAGTTGATAATCCCAAAAACCACACCCATTTTAATTTTGATTCTATTTTATATATATACATACTGGCACATTTGAACTTCGTCGTAGCTGCGAACCGAGTTTTGTCTCCGCTCAACCACGTTTATCTATTTTTGTTTTATACAACCCAGTCGGCGGTGGCGGTGGCGGCTGCGGAAACCGAGGGACACACGCCGGTCGAAAGTACTGCTGCACTGTACGTAGTCAACTTGATCGACTGCCATTTCCATAACAACATCAACTTGAGCGGGGGCTGTGGCGTGTTTAATTCGAACGGATCGGTCTTTATCGAGAAGTGTGCTTTCAGCCAGAATTACGCGCTGCTGGGTGAAGGTAGGTCAATTGGGTATGAATATCCTCGACCTGTCTATAATTTGTGTATCGTAACCATGGTTACGCACTTTTGGTTAGCTTCATTTGCTATTCGATCAGCCCATGTATCGGTATCACTGTGCATAGACGGTTGAGGCTGAGGGTCTAGGTTAGAAGATTATATATACTACGTCCGCCACATCTCATGCAAGTGTATAGTATCGAGCGATCGTCGGCTGGTTTTGAAGTCTATCTGGTCTAGCTTAATATATAAATACATCTTGATATCATCTGCGACACACACACACACACGCCGTTAAACTATTGCTCACAAACGGTAGTGGAAACGGTGGGGCGTTAAAGGCTGTTGATAGCACATTCGTCGAGTACTATGCGAGCGTCCTTTTCGCATCTTTCTTTCGCGATTCCGACTTATCTGTTCAAACACAACACGCAGATATACCTTAGTATAGCCATTGATACACTTACCTTGTATAATCATAGATAAACACATCTTGGTACACACTCTTCTTGTTTTTGTATGCAGGCGGTGGAGGGTGTGGTGGGGTTGTTATGGTTGCAGATACGACCTTCACCGAGAACTATGCCAGAGATGGCGGGGGCGGCTTCCTGGCCATCAAGGAGGCGAGTGTAGTCAATACAAGCTTCGAATGCAATTTTGTGGATACCGTCGGCGCTGGGTTTAAACTCAGGGGAACAAAGTATGCTCGTTATATAGCGTTCTCAGGTTGATTTTAGTTCAGGGAAACAAAGTATGCTCGTTATATAACGTTCTCTGGTTGTGAATGTTTGCCGGCTTGACCGTGTTTTTCAGGCTGCGAGTATGTACGAGGTTTGCGAAGCGACTGGATTGTTGGAGCAAATTATGTATTCGAGGTGCTCTAGGGTACGTCCTTGGTCATTCCGCATCCCTGCTGCTGGATTTGTTGCACTGTCTACATCCCATTGTTGACAATATATTCTCAGGCAACTCATGCACCATGTTGTTGTTTTGTTGTCTATCTCGTTCACAGATTCAGTATAGAGGATAGCACGTTTGAAAACAACATCGGCAGTGTGCCTCGAGACGCCAACTGCTGGGACTTCGAGGCCGGGAAGGGTGTGATCTGTATCAGCCGATATCTGCAAGACAGATCGGACAAACGGTCCTACTCTAGATACGCGCCTTGCAAGAAGTGTGCGTATGTTATGTCCAGGTATGTGGACACACACACGTTGTAGGTACTTAATACTTCATTCTTTCTGGGGGTTCTCTTTTTGCGTATATTCGGTCTTCCAACGTGGGAAGGTGTTATGGACACATCTGCGTGCAATCGGCGGGCTAACCCTCAAAGGAGGCTATAGTATGCGTAGTCTATCTGAGCACCAACGCTAGCATCTTACATTTGTTGATGTTTGCCCTCTCCTTGTTGTGTGGCACTCTCGAGTATGCGTAGCACGCCATTACTCGTTGCCTGTAGTTATGTGGCTGAACGTTTCACATGTGATATGCCTCAGGTGTCAGCTGGATGGGGAGTCTTCGCCATACTCCGCCTGTGTCGATGATGATTCGGAACCCGGTGGCTTCCAATGCGCCTGTGATTTGCCGGAAGCAGTAGACGGATCAACCACCACTTACTATACCCAAGCCCTGACCGGTCGCTGTGCAAAGTATGCTTGAACATGTGTGTGATAGCTTGTACCCCATGCATGCTGTGAAGTACAGTTCAGGATGAATTGTACTTTATTGAAAGTGCATGTATTTGACACCACGCACTATAGATGAATTGTATACTGATGATAGTGTGCGTGTGTGATATAACATTATGAACTCGAACCCTTATCGAGATCTGTGTAATGTACATTGTACAACAAAGAGCTGAAATTGGTCGTAATTCATGAGAACGTGTGTTCAGTCTGATTGCAATTGGTGCAATATCTGCGTGAAAATGCTTCAGAACAGACTGTGTTCCGGTCAGATGCGAAGTAGTTCTAAGTTTTCTGTTTTTATTTTTGCTTTGCCGATTAGTCAGTCGTTTTTGGAGATTTGGCCGTAGCGCTGTGGAAAGGATGCTTGGGAACGCATCTCTGAGTTTGGATGTTTCAGATGATGGTGACTTATTGCTTGCGTTAAGAATTATCATCTTGGATAAATAAACCTAGCATCAACTGGGACTGGTTGCACAATAGATAGTGGGCTAAAAGGCTAAACCCCTTGGTTTGGCTGAGAAGTATCATAATTATTGGAGCATACGAATTCTAACGCATTTCAAATTCACCCCAGGTGTAGTGAATGTGGAGAAGGTGAGGTAGTACGACCTTGCAGAAGTACTCAGGACACAATCTGTAAATGTTCTGCTGGGAAAACCGGGAATCTCTGCATACAGGTATTGTTCCCTATATATT